TGTGTGTGTGTGTGTGTGTGTGTGTGTGTGTGTGTGTGGTTGGCTGACTTCAGCAGGGCAATAGTTGCTATGGCATTGCTCTTGGACCTTGGCTAGGATAGACAGAGACTCCCCCACTTCAAACAGGAGAGGAAAAGGTTAGGCTAGTCAGCAAGCAGCTACACACAGTGCACCTGGCAAATACCCTTTGATATTATGAGTTAGCTATTTCACTGTTACCCTGATTAATCAAATACCCTAAATGCTGTTTGCTTCAATGAACACAGTTAGCCTCACTTTATGGTCAATACAAAAACGAAGAAAGAAAAAAGAAAAAACAGCCAAACAGTCCATTAAATGTCCAAAATGGCTTATTTCTCCAATAAGTTTCACTCAATCCCAAGCTAGTGTCTCTTTGTTGAGCAGTAGGCGCTCTTTTTCCTTCACAGACAATGGCCAGACCTGGCAGCCCTGCAGCTCACTCCAACTGTATAATGAGAAAATTCCAGGAATATTTGTGGAACATTAGGAGAAGAGGAAAGGACAGAATGGGAACGGCTGCTTCATACCTGTTACTGTGCTTGCTCACAGACTGCATCCATTACATCCATACTTCTATATTGCATATTTGAATCCTGGCTGCGCCAGGAAGAAGACCCCCTCCCCCCAATTTGAGGCTCTTGCAGAAGCATCAAGATTTTAGGGTGTGCCTGGCATTTAAACTTGACCACTTAGACTCTGAAAAATACTGCTGTGCAGCATGTTTGAAAATGAAAACAGAGCAACATCTGGAAGTGATTTTTTTCTTTTAAGTCAAACTATATCTGCGCTTCACAAGTTCATACGTCGAATGATAAAAGTCTTTACTATTTAACATTTCTAAAAGAGAGCAGTGACCCATCCCCTCCCCTGCAGCGTCCTCTCCTCTTTGAGAAGGAATCAACCATAAAAAATGTTTTAAAAAATCCCCAGGCAAGGTTTACAGATGAAGAACGGAGCATTGTTCCATGCAGGAGGAGAGCAGTCTCTACAAAGGACAAGCTGACACTCCTGAGATGACACAAGCTGGCCAAATAAAAGCACACGCGCAGACACACAAACAATACTGTCTCAGTACTGTTGTCAGACCCAGCAACCATTATTTTAGTTAGTGTTCTGGACTGAATCCAGGCTCACGGGAAACAACTTAAGGGGTCAACAAGGTTGAATCTTATTGATGAAGGGTTTGTGAACTATATTGAGATTTCAATAACTACTGCACAGGCTAGGATCACGCGCTTATTCTCTAGACCTGAAATAAACCCTTAACCCCATCTGTGCAAGAGCTCCGGCTGCAAAGACTGCCTGTCGTCTAAAATGCATGTTTATCATCTGAATCATCATCCCAAGTGACCGTAATCCTTTTTTTTTTTTTTTAAACATCCTGGTAGGCAAGACAGATCTCCCTGATTCACTTTGTTTTTTTGAACAGTTATAGCTACTAAAATAAAAAGCAAACAAACTTGCAAACCAAGCCCAAAACCTGAATTCAGGTAAACAAAACAAAAGGGCAATCAGGAACTAGACTAAGCAGCAATTTCATTTTTAAATGTAGTTTTTCTAGATGTTAAAGCTGTAAAAAGCATTTGATATTTTACACATTCAGTCAAAAAAACAAAAAACAAAAACAAGGACACCACAAACATCTCAACCTTGAATCTAGACACACGCTTTAAAGTATTTTTTCACTAGAAAGAGGAGGAGCTGAGGAATGTGCACACAGAATGGCTGGCAAGTTGCTGCCTTGTTGGAAAGACTGTGTTTATTTCCTACCCTGTGGGTAAAAAGAGCTGGCTGCTCTGTTGAATCTGTTATGACTGCAGCATGGAAAAGGAACGCGCGCGCTTGTGTGTGTATGGTAAAAAAATGTCATAACACTCCCCCACATCTGGGAGGACAAAACTTGCACTTATGACAACCACACTGTAAACCTCACTGAAGGCCAAGTAAACAGCACGGTGGACCTCGTAACACTTTAGATGATTTTTTCCAAAACTCGCACTATTATTCTAAAAGAAGGAGTGGATTTCTTATGTCATTCTTGGCATTTGTAACCGTGCATGACTTAATACTGACTTAATATGCCCTTCCCATATTGTCAAGCAAACTTTTACATCAGTCGAAGTTAAAAAGCTGCTCTCGTCGGGTTTTTAACTGACCAGACGCCCAGTGCCAGAGCCAACCTCTGTGAACTTTCAACAGTAATTAAGAAAAGAGCAGTGATTTTTACTGTGAAGAACAGCTGCTTTCTGGTAACCAGATCCCAGAACAGTTTGCCAGTGACACTACAGCTGAGTTTTGGAACCTGTTTTCATATACTGTTGATATGGCTTTAGCTGAATAAACGGTTAAGCTGTGCCGTTCTGTGGAGTTTTAAATTCTGAGCACTCTTGCTGGTTTATTTAGCTGTAATCAGCAGCTGTAATAGCCACACGCTCACTGTGGCACTGGTTGAATAAACAAAAACAGACCTGGATACTCACATGGATGAAATCCTGCTACGAATCTTTTCCTCCACTGGCTCCTCATCTGAGCTGCTGCTGGCTGTAGCCTCAGAGTCCAAGGCCTCCTGCAGACCTCTCAGTACCACCTGACTGGAGTGGCTGAACTCTCCGACCTCTGAGAAGGATGACGAGGCTATTGGCAACTCTAGCCAAGGAAAACTTAGTTTACTGCTTTCTTGTGCAGAATTGAAGCAGTCAAAAGACAAATCTCCATGTTGACTGTGTTTTGCCAGCCCCTCCAGCTGCTGGTTGCAGTGCCGCACAGTCTGCTCTCCTAGCAGGATCTGCAGTCTCTTTCGCAGTTTCAAAGCCCGGCTGCGCAGGTCTGTCTGCCGCGAGAACTGCGCCTTCACGGCTTCCTCTAGCACAGCTCTGGACGTCAGCTGGTCAGGGCTTACCCTGTCAATGCAAGGCTGCGCTGAAACTGGGGGAGGGCAGACCATCCCCGCTGCTTTCTCCTGTCTCAGCGAAGGTGGAGGTGCAAACAAATGTGTGTGGCCCGGGGATGTTAACTTCCCTTGGGGATATGGAGGACAAACACTCGTAAGGTTAAGAGAGGAGTGGTACACATCACCACCATATGGTTGGCATTCAGGAGCGGCACTCCATCCATGTGGCAGACAAATGTGTTGTCTATTGTGTTCAGGCCCAGGAACTAAAAACATGTCTGGTACATCTGGGAAGACTGAGGCCACATGATGGGAATCTCTGGAGCCTTTATTGAAGGACAGGAGGTTGACAAGGGAGTTTGGACTGGGCAGGGACATCGTCTCACACTGGCTGTCGGATGTCTGCGGGCATGGCGAAAGCGGAGGGTTGGAAGAAGCGTCCAAGAGGCTGAAAGGTAGGCAGGAGTCCAGGAAGTGAAATGAAGAAAGGTTCCACATCTTCTGCTGGAGGTCATTGTCATCATCATCTATGGGTCTCATGTGAGGCTGTAGCTCTATACTGCACATGGCTCTCCCATCTGAGTCAGTTCTGACAGTGGCAGGGGGTGAGGACAAGTGGATCCCGTGGCCATTTTTAAGGATTTTTGTCAGAGCTGGGGCCATACCCTTCTCTGAACCACTGATGCGCTAGAAAGCCAAGGGTGCAGACTTCACAGGCTGTGCCTGAAATGACCTGACAGCAGCAAAAACACATGTTGGCAACTGACAACACTGAGATCACAAAAGCCACAGTATCGCTAAAAAAAGTCACTTTTTTAGATAATAAGGGATAAACTGAAAGCGCAGACACCAAATAAAATGCACTTCTAGTTTACGTTTACGTTACATTTTTATAATTAAGGGGTATATATATATATATATATATATGTGTGTATATATATATACATACATACATATATACATATTGAATATGGTAGTAATAGCAGTGCCAGACACATTTGGGATGATCGACTCATAATTTTGGTCGCATGATTCCTTTACAGCCTCTTTCCGCGTTTTCCACTTATGACGACCAAACGAAAAGTCCTGCCGCGGACGTGACTGGAAGAAAATACAGAAAAAATACCAACCCAGTACGAAGTTACGAAGTGTGAGCCCCCGGTCCTTGTACTCGTCCATCACAGGTCAAAGGTAACGGTAAACATACAAATATAACGGCGGACTGTAACCACCAAAGCTAGCTGCGCTATAACGGTAACGTTAACACTCCATGAAGTCTCTTTGAGGTGGATCTACACTCACCTGAACACAAGGTAAACCGTTGACTTTAACATCGCTTATGTGCTTCGGAAAATGACATCTGATCTTTCTGAGCATTTAGAAAGCAGAAAAATATAATCAGGCGAGCTTCTATGGCTTTCCAACAGCTTATCAAACGGTGGCACTGGTCTTTTCCCAGACTTTCGGCGCGGTGGTTCTCCTGCACATTAACCGTTCAGCTCCTTCTCCTCCTCCTTCACCAACTGCCGAGAGGACGAAACACATCTGAACGATCCTGAGAGAAGGGGCTGGACCTGATGCCTTCATGGTCATCTAAGAAGCTCAGATCTCTCACAACTCAAAGTGAAAACTTGCACATACAGTGCCATGAGAAAGTGTTTTCCTCCTTCCAGATCATCAAAAAAAATGTCATATTTGACAATAAAAACCTGAATAAATACAAAATGCAGTTTTTCATTGATGATCAAATGTATTAAGAAAAATGTGGCAAACACTTTAAGAAAAGTTACATTTGATCATCAATTGAAAAAAAAACATGTATTGCTTATAATACTTATTGTAGCGTTGAATATTAATTCAGACTTTACACTACTGTAAAAACATCTCTTATTTATAATATTCTAAATATAAGATAAAGGATTTCAATTTTATAACGTCCATTATTCCTGATGTATTGTAGGGTAGTCATAATTTATTAATCAATGTTATTATTTGATGATTATTATGCCTACCTTTATTATTATTCCTTTCCCAAATTTCCGACAGGACCTGGAGGTGACTTCTGAGATTATTTAACCTCGGCTTGCATCAAAGGGCAAAAATCAATCACAGCAAAGGCAATTTTTGTACTTGATGTTTTACAGCTAACTTCTCTATTACAAATATATATTATTAACAGCAAGTCTTATTATATTGTTGTTCATTTCATAAACCAGCCTCACTTTATAGGTTCCCACTAGAAAATTATCATAAAGAAATACATCAACAAATGCTAGATACCTGTGTACCTGCTAGAGTGTTAAACGCATTTAGTTTGCTGCTTACAAATGCTAAAGAGAGGTAAGTTTAAATATGGAAAGATATCCTCTCAGCAAATATTTCACCATAGCATTGTAAAACACAGTTCTGTTAACATGTGAGATTAAAAACTACACCCCCATACACAGTTTTTTTAGACATTTCGAAAATTCAACAATTTAACAATAATATATATAT